GATCCGTCTTCAGTGTAGGAGGATAGTTGGCTACTTCAAAAGCAGTACCACTGCAAAGGTGAATTCCTTTATTACACAGCAGTATTCAAATTAATGCAAAATGACTTGAAAAATATTTTGTTTCACATTTCATTTTTATAGACAAGGCTGACACAGGTGCAGGAGCAAATGATGCCTACAGAGCCTGTGCTGAAGCTCATTCAAGAGGTAAGTTGACATCCATAACTGCTTCCACTCCCCTTTCAAACAATAATGACCTTTTATTTTCAGGTGGAGACACGCTGGAACAGCACCTTCCACATGTTGCAACGAATGTACAACCTCTACAAATTAGCTATAACCTTTCTCTGTACCGCAGCCTCATCCGTCCCTTGTGAAAGACTATTTTCAAAAGCAGGAGAAATCCTATCGAAGAAAAGAAACCGTTTAAAGCCAAACACTTTGGAAATGCTTGTTTTCCTCAATAAAAATGAATGAAAGGTGTATCTTGTTCCTTGTTTATGTCAATGTCTAAAATAAAGCAATCATTCTTTCAAGTAACACACGCACATTCATTCACATCACAACTCCCTGCCCTTTTGACTCCATCAAATCCATGGTATTTTAATCACTGTGTCATGACATTTATTTTCCACGTGATGGCGCAATAGAACAAATGGAGCCTCATGATGCATCGGCCCAGGACCGACCCAGTTGAATGGAAAGCCTCATTGCTTCATGAGGCTTCAGATTCCCATCACTACAGTGAAGTGCCCCTTGTGGTCCAGAGAATCCGGTAAGCGAGCGAGAGTTCGCGCGGCGCGTCGATGGCCTTGTCGGTCGCCGCACCCGAACAGGCCGCCTCGGTCGCAAAGCTTCTGTCTGCTCCTGCGGTCTGGGCGGACGACGCGACGGCCCGACATCGGCCCGATTCGATCGCTGTTGTCGGCGCTCTCGCGGTGCCGCGTCAAGGATCGGGACTTGTTCCTCAAAGGTAAGGACTTGGACTCGCGCGTCGTCCGCTTTGGCGCATTTTGTCCCGCTTTGGCGCACGCTGATGTCGGCCTTGTGTGTCTCCCCAGCCGCCATGGGCGCCATCTTCGGCATGGCCACGTGTCTCAGCGCTCAGGCCCGCCAGGCTCCGGACGATCCGCTCAACTACTTTGCGGGCGGCTGCGCTTCCGGCATCTTCTTGGGCGCCAGAAGTAAGTGGGGCCGAGCGGCGGGCGCCCTTCTTTTCACTGACGCCATTCTTGCGCGCGGCCGGCGACCCGCGGTGCCGTTCTCACGTCGAGTGGCATCGCCGTGACGACGGGCGACATCCTTTCTGGGGACTGCCGTGGTGTGCGGTGACATCGTTGCAAATGGTGACATCCCGATGACATCAAAGTGACGGGTGACACGGTTGGCCTCGTCATGACAAGCGACATTATCAGTGCGACCCATTTGTTGTTCTTGGTGCGAGAGGGCTGGAGACTGATCGGACCGCCGAAGCTCTAACCGGCTCGGGAACTTTTGACAATGTGTCCTCTGATAAATGCGAATCGTAAAGTAATAAAGTTGAATGATGACAAAGTCCCATTTCTTTGCTTGTTACCAAACGAGTCGAGCCGCCGTCGCTTTTCTCTTTGTTCCGACTTGACGAGCATGCGCGCGTGCGACAAGTGACGTCATCGGCACGGTCAAACTCTCCTTGATAATTCCCGAGCGCGCGCCGCGCAAACAAGAAGAAAAGGAAGACGACGGCGAGGAGCGCTGCTGCAGCATGTCTGTCGTCACGCAAGGTCAGTGGAGATTCTCTCGTGGCGTTTCGGGGGTCCGAGTGGAGCCGCCGCCGGTGGTCTTGTCGCTGCAAGCGGAAGAGAGCCGGCGGCGGACGCGACATTCCTGCCGCCGGGCACCTCCGTGCCAAAACCTGGCACCTGCGCACTCGCATCTCGTTGGCTTGATGTTCTGGACTTTGTGCTTTGCATTTTTTCCAATGAGTATTTTTTAGTCAGTACAACAATGAAATGCAAGAGACAGTCTTAGGAAGGAAAAATATTTTGAATATTTTTAATTTCAATTTAATTTTTTTTTTTGCTTGAGTCCCCCCCCCCCCCCACGCCACAACAACAACAAAATTTTTTCCCCCGATGCAAGAACAAAGTAAAAATGTCTGCGACTGTCCTTTCCTTTGGCAGCCTGGCAGTGGAGTGGTTAGCACGTCGACCCCGCAGTGCAGAGGTGCAGGGTTGGATTCCGGCTTCGGCCTCCCGATGTGAAATTTGCATGTTCTGCCCGTGCCCGCGTCCTGCGGTTTCCTGACACATTCCAAAAACATGCCCAACAGGTTCATGGAACACTGAATTGTCTCGAGGTGTGAGCGTGAGCGTGGGTGATTGTTTGTCTCTGTGCGATGGGCTGACAAGCGGTTCAGTGTGTCCCCCGCCTTCTGCCCTCTGACAGCTGGGAGAGGCTCCAGCACCCCCCCCCCCGGTGACCCTTATGAGGATAAAGCGGATCAGAAAATGGATGGATGTCCTTTCTTTCCTTTTGTCTTCAAATACTTCTTGTTTGTCCATTTTTTCTTTTTTCTTTTGGTATTTCTTCGGCTTGTTTCTTGTTCAGCTTTTTCTTTTTAGTTTGTTTTACTTTTTTTTTCTTTTGCCTGTGTCTTTGATTTTCACTCTGATTTGCTCCTAATTGTTTTTTAACCTGCCAATAGTTTTTTCCCCCCCATTCCATTTTCATTTTTTCCTTCATCGTGTTGTTTTCTTTGTTTTTTTTGTTTTTTTTCCCTAGGCTTCATTTCTTTCTTTTTGTTGCTTTTCGTTCAGCCGCACAAATGAAGTCACACGTAATCAGAAACAAAACGGCAATGACTGCGCGGTCCAGTCTATGTTTATTGTTTAAGACTCGGGTCTTCAACTGGACAGTGATTTTATACTTGACCTGCAAATTGGTGCCGTTGTTAAATCCAGCTTCTTTCATCTTGGGCAGCTGGCGAAAGTCAAAGCTCTCCTTTCTCATGAGCGCTTGGAAACAGTCCTTCATGCCTTCGCCACATCCCGGCTGGATGACTGCCATGCGCTTGACTTTGGAGTCAGCCAGTCCTCCATGAAGTGTCTCCAGTTGGTCCAGAATGCTGCCGCTCGCCTCTTGACTGCTACTCGTAAGAGGGAGCACATAACTCGCACTCTGGCATCCCTTCACTGGCTACATTTTCGAGTTCTTTTGAAGATTCTTTTATTTGTTTTCAAATCTCTAAATGACCCCGCGCCACCTGACCTCCTGCGCCCCTACACGCCCGCCTGCCGCCTCAGGGCCGCGGACCAGACATTATTAGAAGTACCAAGAACTAAGCGGAGGCTTAGAGGGGATGGAGCCTTTTCCATTGCTGGCCCCTCTCTCTGGAATGACCTCCCATTGAACATTGGGCAAGCCCCCTCGCTGGCGATCTTTCAAACCCGCCTCAAAACTCACTTGTATTCTTTGGAATTTGACTCTGCATGACTCAGATTTTATCTTAGTTTTACTGTTTGGTGCTTTCTACCATCTTTGTGACTGATTTATAGCTTTATTGTTGTATATGTTAGTTGCTCCATGAACAGAACTTTGTATGCAGCGATGGCTGTTTCAAAGTGCTCGAGAAATACACTTGAGTTGATAACGCGTTCCGGTTCTGAAGTCCAAACGGTCGTAAAGTGGGCCGCCAGAGAGCGCCCGCTCAGAGCACGCTTCCAGAAAGACGCCATGAGTCCGGTCATTGTTCCGTGGAGTCATTCGTCCGTTTCCACGTGGGCTCCCGAATCCATTCGGTCAACCCCCGGCGATTGATGCGTCTATTCATTGGATTGATCCATCCGTTGCCAATGCGCTGTGATCGCTTGATGCCGATCGCTGCGCCGCTTGGTGAACATCGGGTTCCACGACTTGTTGTTGCAGCTCGCCGATGGGGCGGAAAGCCAGGTCGCGAACGGCGCGGCGGCGAGTCATGTTAAAATGTCAGCAGGAGGTCTTTTCTGGTTTGAAGTTCACCTTGGCTCTTACAGAGAGCATCCCTGCCGTCACCACGGCAACGCCCCCCGGACCGGCTGCCATGGAGACCGCCGACATCGTGGTGGTGGTGGTCTACCTGCTCCTGGTCATGGCCGTTGGAATCTGGGCCGGTCCACACACACACACACACACACACACACACAACCGCCCAATCCTTCCCAGGGGTCAGATGTCATGAAGCGCAAATACTTGTTGAAGATAATTCGGGGGTTTACTGCGCTTCACTTGAGTATTGACTTTTCACGGGCACTCCCAAATTGGAAAGCCGTTAGCTGTGCGGTGCACTCCGGTCCGGTCTGGGGCAGTTTAGTCTCATCTGCTCATTCGGCGCGGTTGGGTTTGCTCCAGCGTACCTAATGTTGTGTCCATACGTGGCCGTCCGTCTCGTCCTCAGGCGTCCGTCAGGGCCAATGGCAGCACGGTGGGCGGCTACTTCCTGGCTGGCCGATCCATGACCTGGTGGCCTGTGAGTCCTTCGTCCAGTCGTCATTCAGCCATTCCGTCATACGCGCCCTCCAGGACAGCGCGTGACCCTCCGTTCATTCGTTCATTCCTTCACCTTTCAGATTGGAGCGTCTCTGATGTCGAGTAACGTCGGAAGCGGCTCCTTCATTGGGTTGGCGGGAACGGCAGCGGCGGGCGGCATCGCTGTGGGCGGCTTTGAGTTGAATGTAAAAAAAAAACGGGAAAAGGTGGCCACCTTCTTCTCCATTTGGGCCTTCAACAGTCCTCCCCCCGCGTGCGTGGGTGCGTACGTGTGCCTGGCACATAGGCGGCGTGGGTCCTGGTGGCTCTGGGCTGGATCTTCATCCCGGTGTACGTCGCGGCCGGGGTGGTGACCATGCCGGAATACCTGGCCAAGCGCTTCGGGGGACGCAGGATCCAGGTGTACCTGTCCGTCCTGTCCCTGGTCCTCTACATCTTCACCAAACTATCTGTACGACCCGCGCACATAGCCCCTCCCCCTCATCCGCCCATTCCAACAGCGAGTGAAGATTTGCGGCATGTGGGTTGCAGACGGACCTTTTCTCCGGTGCGCTCTTCATCCAAGTGTCCTTTGGCTGGAATCTGTACGTGTCCATTGCGATTTTGCTGGTGATCACGTGCGTGTACACCGTGGCAGGTACCCACACCCACACACACATAACACGGGTACAGTCATTTTAATGTGGCAGCAGAAGGGGGCCCGCAGGCGACAGGACATCTCCGGTTCTTGTCCAAGCGCCGCTCTCTCGAGCGCGGTCCGATTGTAGCGCCTAACGAGTAAACAAGTCCGTTGTCACGTGACCTGCCGTTCTCACAGGAGGTTTGTCGGCGGTCATCTACACCGACGCGTTCCAAACCGTCATCATGGTGGGAGGAGCCTTCACGCTCCTGTTCATTGGTAGGCCACGCGCAAGCTAACGTAAGTACCCCAAAGGGAAAGTGACGTGTGTCTTTGCCAGCGTTCTCCCAGGTGGGCTGGTACGAGGGTCTGACGCAGCTTTACATGTCGTCCGTTCCCACGGCGACGGTGGCCAACGCCACCTGTCACCTCCCTCGCGCCGACGCCTTCCACATGTTGCGAGACCCCGTGTCCTCGGACCTGCCCTGGCCGGGGCTCATCTTTGGACTCACCGTCATCGCCACCTGGGTGTGGTGCACCGACCAGGTCAGAAGACGAGTCCCGGAACATGCCCGCGGCACGAGTCCGAGTGTTGGCAGACGCGCGCGTTCCCTCGGGCGGCTTCCCGACTGCCAAAAGGCCTGCCGGCGCCTGCCGGATCTTTGCGATCGATCCGGGAAACGCTCAATCCGAACAGCAGCCACCCGCGGGGGCCTGTGAGAACAACTCCCCATGGCACCGCCACCCCCCACGGCCGTCGTGTATCCGGCGGCAAATGTGCTCTCGGGGCACTCGACCTCGACCTCGTCAAGAACACCTTGCAGATCGATTCCACGACCTTTATCGTGCGAGGCCCCGGTTGGCCATTTCCACAAAAAAGATCACGCGAGGCAAAGTCGGCAAGTTGGGAGGATACGGAAGAAGCGTTGAGGGCCAGTTGAAGGCTCGACCGCTCGATTCCGGTCTCGACTCGTCTGCTCTGGCCGGTCCAATCGAGGCTCGTCTGGCCTGCTCGGGTCCTGTGCAGTCACCGCTGTTCAAGGCAACTCAAATCAGAATTAGAGTCATGTGACTGGCCGGTGTATGTTCACACACACACACACACACACACCCTTGCTCTGGTCTCGTACCAGTGCGGCGTCATCTCGTTGAATCCACTCCTTCCTCTGTGTGTGTGTGTGTGCGTGTGTGTAGGTGATAGTTCAGAGGTCACTGGCTGCACGTTCGCTGAGCCACGCCAAAGGAGGAAGCGTCTTAGGAGGTTACCTCAAAGCATTACCCATGTTCTTCATCGTCATGCCAGGCATGATCAGCAGGGCGCTCTTCCCCGGTTGGACCACACACACACGCACACACAACGAAGGTGACTCTGTGCCTTTGCGTGTGTGAAGATGAGGTGGGTTGCGTGGATCCAGCCGTGTGTCGGCGTGTGTGTGGAACTGCGGTGGGCTGCTCCAACATCGCGTACCCCAAACTGGTGGTGGAACTCATGCCAGTCGGTGAGTAGGAGCCCCGCCCCCCAAAACACGCACACGTATGCATTTCTACATGTGCCCGTAGGCGTCCGTGGCCTGATGCTGGCCGTGATGTTCGCCAGCCTGCTGTCGTCGCTGACGTCCATTTTCAACAGCAGCTCCACCCTCTTCACGTTGGACCTTTACCAGCGAGTCCGACCCGCCGCCTCCGAGATGGAGCTCATGATCGTGGGCAGGTGCCGCTCGCCGCGCCCGCGCGCGCGTCTGCCTTTGCCAGCGCTTCATTGCGCGAACCGCCCCCGCAGGGTCTTCGTCCTGGCGCTGGTGGTCGTCAGCATCCTGTGGATCCCGATCATCCAATCGGCAAACAGCGGCAAGCTGTTTGAATACGCCCAGTCGGTGGTCAGCTTTCTGGCTCCGCCCATCACCGCCGTCTTCGTCCTGGCCATCTTCTGGCCGCGCACCAACGAGCAGGTCCGTCGGCGCTCCTTCTCCTCCAACGCGCGCCGTCGTCCCGTTGTGTTATCCTTCTCCTTTTGCGGGCCAGGGCGCGTTCTGGGGCCTGATGGCGGGCCTGGCGGTGGGCTCGGTCCGGATGGTTCTGGAGTTCTCCTACGAGGTTCCGGCGTGCGGCCAGCCGGACCTCCGCCCCTCCGTGCTGACCCGGGTGCACTACCTCTACTTCGCCATCCTCCTGATGGCCTTCAGCTGCTCGGTGATGGTCGCGGTCAGCTTGGCCACGCCCCCCATACCGGCCAAGCACGTGAGCCGCGCACACGCTTGTCTTTGAATCAAGTCAGCTGGCAAGCGAGCAATGTCAGACAGCGTTGTCGCCCGTGTGTGCGTCAGCTGCACCGACTGACCTGGTGGACGAGACACAGCACGTCGCCGCGCGTGGATCTGACCGCCGAGCCGGGGGCTCGCCAAGCCTCCGACCCGGACCCCTGGTCAAACCTCGGTTTTCGACCATAATCCCTTCCAGAAGGCTGTTCGAAAACCATGTTTGCCATTTGAATCAGTGTAAAATTTTTAATCCATTGCAAGTCCAGAAAACAACTTTTTTAAAAGCATTTTTTTCAACTATTTTACACCATAAACCGTATACACGTGTAATAAGAGAGCAGGTAACAACAAACTACAAACATTTTGGATGTTTTATTTTGACCAATTTGAACATAAACATTGACATTGTAACATCAAAATTGAACATCTCTCTGTCTCTCTCTCTCATCATGACAATTGTAGATTGCATTCCATACGGCACATAAGGTGCTGGCCACAAAAACGATACTTGCTTTCGGCATTTAAGAGTAGCGAGACCATCACATGAAACCTGGAGGGAGCAATTTGGCACGCTCATCAACGTGAGGTCGCCGCCGCCGCCACCGCCGCTCATCTCACCATCTCATCAACATGTTCCTCTGGAGTGGCCCACTTTGAACACTTCCCCCCCCCCCCCCGCCCAACACCCCCCCCCCGGCCAAAGAACACACCTTTCCATTTGAAGCAAAATCACGTTTGCGGTTGTTTCTGCGGTTGACATTTTGAATTGCAAAAAGCCACATTCAAGTCAACATGGGCTGCACGGCGGCGGAACAATGGCTCGCGGTTTTGCTTTGGTCGGATTTTTGATTTCGCTTGCAGGGGTGAATGTTTTGGGGTGAGATGAAAACGTTTAGTTGTTGTTCCAAACATAAAAAGTACTCTTTTTCTTGAGGGGGTGGGTGGTTAAAATGAGAAAAAGATTAGTACGTGCCACTCTTCAAGAATGTCCATCTTCAATGAAATATGAAGCAAGTAAGTGACTCCCAGGATTGCTCTTCAAGTGAAAAAAAACGTTTTTTCCGTTTTGTTCCCTTAATTGTAATCGCCCGACTTGATTCTTCCGGTGGGGGCTCAGTGGGGAGGCGGCGCTGCGGGGCGGGGCCTGGGGGCTGCTGATTGCAGGCACGCCCGCCGGTCCGGAGCGCGCAGCTGTCTCGCATTTGCGGTCGCGCGCGATTGGTGGCCCGAACCGCCCGGGCCGGCTAAAGGCTGCTCGCCTCGCGACTCGTCGTTACTTTGCACGCAAGTTGTCACGATGCCGGCTCAGCTGTTGGCGGCGATGCTGTTTTGCGCCTTGGCTCCTCGGACCCTCCTGGGGGAGTCGTCGTCGGCGGTCACGTGCGACCAGGGCAGCGCCGAGGCTGCGGCCAACCTCGTCGTCCGACACATCAACCGACATCACAAGCACGGTTTCAAGTTCAGGCTGCGCCAGGTCCAGAGCAGCAAATACCAGCAGGTGAGCGCGCACCGCCGACAGGTCCGCTTCAACAGACTCTCTTGCGGGGGGGGGGGGGGGGGGGGGGGGGGGACTTTTATTGATGATCTTTTGTCGATGCAGATACCCGGCGGTTGCCGCGTGGACGTACACGTGAAGCTGGTGCAGACCAAATGTCACTTCACCAACCCCAAACCTTTTGAGCAATGTCAGCCTTTTGAACGGCTCGAGCGGGTAAGACGCGGTTGCCTTGACGGCCATTTGTGCCGGGATGGCCGTCGAGGTTTCATCGAGGCGTTTATTTACTTTTTTTTTCTCTGCATGGTTTAGGGCGCAGTGGCCACCTGTTGGGCCAATCTTCGGGTCACGTGGGGTGCGGCAACAGTGACGAGATACGACTGCGCTACCAGACCAGGTCATGACCTCCAACCGGTCCATAGGCGCAATCAAAATGATGATTGGGGGTGGAAGCGAAGTGCAATGCTCAGTTTTTTTCCTTCTTTCCTCCTGGGAGATTTAAAAAAAAAAAATTGGAATCTCCTCCCCCCCCCAAATTAAAGAAGCACTCTCGAGTTAACACGCAGCCGACTTGTGTGCAGACCCGACGAATGAGGATCTGCTTAAGACTTGCGCCAACTGCTCCATCTTGCTGCCGCTGAGCGAGCCGACGGCCGTCAAGGCGGCGCAGGAGGCGGTCGGCAAGTACAACCGGGGGGGCGGCCACCCCAGTTACATGGCCCTGCTGGAAGTGACTCACGTCATGACTCGGGTGAGCGTCCGGCCGAGCGGCCGCTTCGTTTGGTGGCACGACCGCTCATCGCTCTCCGCCCGGTTGCGCAAGGCTAACCCGAGTGCCGTTTGCGGGCGTTCCTCTTGGAACGGCTTGTGCGCGGTCTTTTGTTTGGGCGCGCAGTACATCCCGTCGACGGGCTGGGTGACCTGGCTGGAGTTGGCGCTGGTGGAGACCAACTGCCCCCGAGAGGCCGCGCACACCTTTGCGCCCTGCACGCCCCTCTGCCCGGATCGAGCGGTGAGCTGGACTTCACGCTCGCGGCTGCTCCCCACCCAATTTGGGATGTGTTGGCTGGTTTATTTTGTGGCGTGGTTTCGGTCCAAGCTCAAACGTCATCAATGAGCCGTGACGGCCTTCTTTTTCAGAGTCATGCCTATTGCAAAGTGGCCTATTACTACAAGCAAAAAGCCATGAGAGGCCCCGAGTGTGAAACCTACCCACGAAACGTAAGTTGACGGCAAAACCGACTCGGGGCCCAGCGCACGCGTCGACCCTCCCCTCTTTTGGTCCGCAGAGTTCTCCTCGACTCCCGGCTGGCGCGGCGGAGCCCACGTGTGGCCTGTTGTACCACGAGAGTCCCGAAGCGAGGGCGTGCGAGGAGCGTCTGGCCGACCACCAGCCGGCCGTCCACCCAATTTGTCCCTTCCCGCCGGTGGGGCCGCTGCAGCGCCAGTGGTATCGGTGGCGGCAGCAGGAGCAATGGGTCAAAGGATGAAGGGCACACCGTCAACTCATTTGCCGTCCAATAAATGGCTTGCTCTTGTTGAGACAAACGCGCATTGGCTTGGAATCTTTCTCCCTCTCGATACCTTGACTTCAAAACGTGTTGGACTCTGGAATTATTGTTTTTCTTCCCAAATTTCAGTCTTTAACTACTGTGTTCCATCAACATATGGTGCATGTTTTTTGGGATGTGGGAGGAAACTGGAGAAAAGCCAACCAGGTCGGGGATGGATTTGAACCCACAACCTCTGCCCTGTGAGGTGGACGGGCTAACTATTTGAGGTCATTTTCCATCAACAGCAGATAGGGCCAGAGTGGCCAAATCTGCGCAATTCGTCGGCCAACACGGTAGTCATCGAGTACGATGGAGCCCCCTCCCGGGTCACACATTTGCAGATTTTATTTTTGGGGTTGAAATCTTTAAGGTTTGAAGCCAAAGAGAAAACTTAAATTCGCATTTCCACATCGGACTAGGGCTCCAAATTATGTTTGAATCAAATTACATTTCAAATGAGGTCTTTCATCCTTGATTTCTGGGCTCGGGTTCCAAAGTGTGGCGCTGAACCAGGATTTGAAAATAAAAGTTTGAAATCAGGTCTCCAAACCTAATGTTGGCCATTTGAAATGACAGTGAAGATTGGGGTTTACGTCTTGAATCGAGCCTTGAAGCCAAGGTTGGGACTTGAAATGTGGAGTCGGCTTTGCGTTTGGAAATAGTCGTCATGAATGTGCGTTGGAGCGCTCTCGAGACTTGAATGGGTTCCGGCAATCGACGCCTCGCTTTTATTTTGGTGGGACGGGAGCGAGTCTACATCCGGAAGCGGAAGCCTGCGGCCAATCAAGGACCTCTCTCAGCTTTTCCTAGCGGCGGACGAGACGCTAAGTTAAGCGAGGCCAGCGGAGCAGACGGCGTGACAGGCTACGGGACCTCCTCCAAGGAAAAACTCGCCCAGGTTAGCTTGGCATCATCGTTCAATCCGTCGTGAGTGAACCTTTTGTGAGGGAGGGCACGTTCCGAAGAGAGCGCCGAGCGAGATTCTACTCGAGTGCAGTTCGGTCAGCAACTAGCCAACGTGTTGACGTCCATCCACCTTTTGTGTGTGGAGAGTCGAAATCTCGCTCGGGGTTCATTTGCCGTGCCTTTAGGATTTTTAAAAAGGACACGATTTCAGTTGGACAACAACTGTGATTCAGATTCGACTTGTTTGGAACATTCCTCAGAAAATGAACAAGAGTGTTTTTCAAAGTTAGACAAGAAGCTTCAGTGTGAGTGCGTTGCAGGAAAATCTGCTTCCACTTTCTTTTTTTTTTTTTTTTTTTAAACCTTCAGTGTGCTACTGACTGATTAAAAGAAAAATGCAAGTCAGCATCACTTCCTCTTCCTGTCTCCCGCTCGTGTTTTGTTTGGGGCTTTTTTTGGACCTGGTTGGACAAAGTAGAGCATCTGGATTTTCCTTCCCTAAAACGGCTTCATGAACAGATTTGTTTTCATATCGATTCATCTTGGTTAATTGGCTTATTTGAAGTCACGTAACTACAAATCTAATCGTAAAAGAAACAATTTGACATCGATTTTCCCAATGAAATCATTGCTTCATTTATTTGAAGAAATTCATATGATCATTCATCTAACATTTGTGTCATGAATATTGCACGATAAATTTGGATTGGGTTTCCTTATTCAGTCATCGACTCCTCTTTGTGTTTTTTGATGTCATTGCTTCATTAGAAACCAACCACCCCGCCCCAAAAACTAGAACGAGATGTTTTATGTCAATAAATTATTTGACGTCAATTCAACATTTGCTGAAATTGGTCAGGCACATAGAAGTCGATTTTTAAAAAAAAAAATTCTGCTGCTGCTTCTTCCCAAAAAGAACATTGGCACGCAAGTGTGGCCGTAGATCACATCTCTGTTGTGCTCTACATTCCAAAAGATTTTGCAGATGACCCAGGCGACAGCGATGTGTCGATGAATGTTGTCATTGATTGTTTTGTTTTGTTTTTTTTTTCTAAATGTGAGGACGTTGTGGAGCGCGGCGCGAGGATGAGCCAGTTCGCCGTCCTCCACACAGGCCAGAAGATGCCGCTCATCGGACTCGGCACGTGGAAGAGCTCGCCGGGGCAGGTGAGGCCAACGCGCCGAGGGGGAACCGTCAGCTTTTTAACAATCCAGCTTTAAATCTTCAACGAGGGCTTTAAATGCGGTTCTCGAGACGGGCTTTCGAGTCCAAATGGCGGTTTGCAATTTCAAACCCGGGTTACGCTTTTGGAAATGAGGGTTGAGAGTCAGGATGAGGGCATCAAACCTGGTTTGGGATTTCAGCACGGGGCTCGGCTTTCCGAGGACGGCTGGAAGGCGCGGTCGGGTTTGGAGACGGCGCGAGGAGCTTGGCCTGAGGGTTTCAGGCAATGACTCGCGCGCTTCCAAATGAGGAGTTAGCTTTCCAATTCTAAGGTTCCGGGCCAGATTAGTGTTTGAAAGGAGGGATCCCGGACAGGGTCGCTTGGGGTTTGCAATGGGGCTTTCCAAACGGGCCGAGGGCTTCCGAGTGGCGTTTTGAAAGGAGACCGGGTTACCAACGGCCAGTTGCGAGAGCGGCTCGGGGTTTGAAACGAGGCTTTGGCCTTCCGAGCGTCCAAGAGTTCGGGCCTGATGAAATCGGGGAGTTCAAAACCCTGCTTGAGAAAATATGGCCGAGGCGCTCAAATTGGGGTCGCAAGACAGGGCCGGGGGTCGGGAATCAGGCTTTTCGGCACCCGCTTCGGGGTTTTCCACGTGAGGGTCGGAGGGGCGGCTTCACGGGAACCCTTGACGGAGGACATTGTGCTCGGTCGCCTTGTGTCTGTGAGGTGAAAGAGGCGGTGAAGTGCGCCCTGGAGGCGGGCTACCGCCACATCGACTGCGCCGCCGTCTACGGCAACGAGGCAGAGATCCGACAGGCGCTCGGCGCGCACCTCGC